TTCATAAACTACACATGTGAAGTTTCATGTCTGATATATATACATAAGTATGTGAAACTATGCATTGACTCATGTTGACATCATGCATCTGATCATAACATCTATGATATTAAATTAGAAAAGTATTAACCACCATTTTTGATCAGTAGGCTCTGGTGAAAAATGCATGATTGATATAAACAGCTGACACTATTAAAACTGCCAAAGGGAAAAAACCTTTATATCCAGGTACACTGTTATGTGTAGAGGAAATTCGAAGAACTTGTGCATGTACACACGTGTATACAAAATTTAAAATTTTTGTCTCTTGGTATTTAAAAAACACACAAATGGTTCTCACAAGTCACTGGGTATTGATAAGTAAAAATAATAATGACTTTTATGCGTAATTCTGCATATGCATGCATGGTAGACACCTTAAAATGTTACGGCCTATGCGCACCTGCATTTTCTCTTCAATTTGAGACATGCTATTAACATCATTTGACAAACATGCCCTAAATATTTAGCCATTTTGTGCTACAGGTAACGGAAAAAAAAATAAATAAAATTTTACTTACGAGGGTTTTATTTACTAAATCAATGTATGTGGGTTAATCTTGACCGACACAAAAACTCCCTTCCACGTGGAAACATGTTTACAAAATCGAGAGGTGTTGTTTTGACACTTTAAAGTGCAATAGCACTTGACAGAATGAGAAACCGTATACCCGCTTTCACTTTTCAAGTAAAGAATCGTTTGTTTTTCAACTTTTTGCAATTTACAAACCTTATAAATCGAGAAAACATAAAGTTTTACCTCTTTTTTTATGTTGAATTTCTCTCTCGATTTTCACCGCTTAGCATGTTGCTCCCGCTGAATTCTAGCGAGGAAAGCTGTTTGGACGTTTACGGATTTTGTTCATATTTGATTAAGTTTATCTCCGAATTCTTCCGATTTATGCTAATAAGGTTAGGAGGTGTGGTATTATTCCAAAGTTATCTATATATTGTCAGTACATTAAACACCGGATATAACGTTAATTTCTACTTGTCTCGTTGTAACAGAGAAAAAAACAAACAAAAGAGTTTTTGCTCGGAAAAAATGACATATCTCTTTATAATTCGTGGAAATGTCACAGTATCGTTTAATTACATCACATTTCTACGGAACATTTTTGTTGAAAAACTATGTTTAGAATGGATACGATATCCACTGAAACAAAAGTCTTTTAGGATGTCCATTTATGAAAAATTAGTGCACCGCCTTTTCATGGGAATAAAAAGAAATTTTTGTTATTAAATTTACGATTTGATATACACTGAGCACTTTTAAACAACTAATTTTCCTCGAAAGATAATTAAAAGTCTCCATTGTAAACATTTCTTATAAAACATCATCCACATCCTGCAAATATGTCCCGATGCGTAAATGACGTCATATCAGAAATGTATTAGTTGATAGCTTATTGATTCATTCCGACATTCAAGAGGCAGATTTTATAATTAAAATCTATATCATTGGAAAGTACTTAAAATTACTTGAGGAAAATGTAGGTTTCATCCTATCTTTTAAGTTCAAAAAGAATCAAAATGTCTTGCGGAAGTGTCCACTAGCTGGCTAAAATGACGTCTGATGTTCTTATAATGCACGATTTGGGGTTGTTCGTAAATGTGGCACCATTTCCTATGAATTCATATGCGTATTTTTGTACTCTTCAAATTTTTCTATCAATTATTATACGTAGCTCTTTACGTACACTTCCTTTATGTTGATTTTTTTTTTTGAATGATCATCATGAAACATACAAATGTAGTCATAATTTTTAATCTACATATATGCATGCAATATTGCAGAGTTTCATAGCTTGGGCTCATATGGAGTAAAAACAACATGATAGAAAATTAAGAATAAATAGTCACCCGATGAACTGCTTTAATGAAAAAAGTACAGTTAACCAAATTGAATGTTCTGTCCACAATATTAATTTATGCTATTACATATGTCTCGTACATTAAAGTGAGTAACTTTTCTCTTTTAAAATATATCTTTTATTATTTAAACATCAAAAAGGATCTATTTGGACGTCGTTTTGACGTTTATAACGTTGAATATCAATTCTTGACGTTGCAACTATGTATTGTATTACCTTGCAGCATACGGATGATAACGTTAGTGTCTAAATCACCGTTACGTTTCATCTTTGCGCTACAAATAAAGTTGGACAAGCTTACCTAAATTTAGGAATTTAATTGAGTTTAATCTCCATAAACAGCTGAGGAACCAATCAGACACAAACGTGCGATCTTCTGTGGATTTATTAGTATACATGTAAGTAATGGAAAATATTCCCACCGTCATTCAACTTATAGATATTGTTATATTGACTGTCAACAGTGACAGCGTCTTTTGCTATTATAATTTAGCCGTTTGTCCGTATGTTTTGTAGTACCTGGGGACTCGATCAAGAAAGACTTCACTAAGAAAACCCATTTCATTTCTATACGTAAGATCTGGTGATTTTGGGGGAATTTTTATCTTCTGTGTTCATTTTAAGTTTCTTACGGTGTTTTCACGCCGTCTAATCAAAGTGAACAGCTCTCCGGTGCTTTGTAACGTCATCAATCGTTACTATTTGTCGTTGTGTTCCATTATGAATGCTCAGGAAATTGCCAAAACATTAACCAAATGCTTTGAAAGTTTTAAAAAGTCAACCAAATAAATTGCAAAATCGAATAAGGATGATTTAAACTCCAATCTTTTATATTCTCTTTTAAAAAAAACCTTCGTTTTTTGACCGCGCGCCGTTGATCCATTCCCTGTGCACATTCAATCATAATAAAATCTTAATTTTTGTCTAAATCTTATTTTAAAAAATGTGATTCTATGAAATATGATAAAGAGACATTCACTGAAAATTTCAGCTTTATGCGTCCATTAATTTTCGAGAGAAACGCTTTTCCACGATTATACCGGATAACCCTCGTGTGTGGTTTTTGGAGACCAGGTCTTCCAAGAATCTTAAAACGTAAGCATTTGTGCTCTTTACTTAATTTGCATAATTGTGTAATGTCATTTTTATTATATTTAAAAGAAAATGTGAAACCAGAAATCCATCCGTCAAAGATGCCACCTCTTCAAAAGGAAGCAGACATTTTACGTATTTGCATAGTCGTAGCCGGAACTGTTCTTTTCTCTCTGATCGTCGTTCACATTCGATTAAGTGTTCGCCATTATCTAACAACATGTACTGCAGCCAATGAGCGGAACAGCCTATATTAAACGTCTTCGTATATCCAAAAGAAAAAAAAACTTGATAGCAAACCAGACTTTATTGTTTGTATATTTTATTTCAAATTTATTGCTATTTATTATCTTCAACTTCTGCATCACGAAACTACAACAGTTGCAAAATTTATTCAGTAAGTATGTGAATAAAGTGTATTAAACTTCTCTTTTAGAGTTCTTTTATTATTTGTTTGAAATCATTGATGACTAAACTAAAACTGTCAGACACATAGACACCGATATAAAACTTCTATAATGTAGGTTGAAAATTCACTAGAATAAATGAAATAAATAATCAAAGTATAAAATATCTGATTTCTTTTGCAGTAAAATTAACTATCTAATTTAAGAAAACAGAATCTTTAAAGAGATTGAGTACTGAAAACATTTGGCAATCAACAATGTCATCTTTAATCTGTTGTATACAAAATAAATTTCAGCATCCTTTGTGTCAACGACTTTTGAAATTACAACCTCTATTGAAATGATTATATCAATAATGGTTGGAATGCATTTCAATAACATATATGGGTTGCAACCACTTTTGAAATCACGAACACTATTGAAATAATTATTTCAGTAGTGGTTGAGAGTACATTTCAATAACAAACGTAGGTTGCAAGCACTTTTGAAACGCAACCACTATTGAGATTTTTATTTCAAAAGCGGTTAAAGGTACATTTTAATAACAAACATAGAATACAATTACTACTGAAATACGACCACTATTGAAATACTTATTTCCATGGAGTTTGAGTGCATTTCAATACAAAACATAGGTTGCAACCACAATTAAAATTATGTTCACTTTTGATTGATTTATTCTATATTGTTTAACGTCCCTCTCAAGAATTTTTCACTCATATGGAGACGTCACCGTATGCCGGTGAAGGGCTTCAAATTTAGACCTTTACTCGGCACTCAGGGCCATTGAACAGTGAAGGTTCTTTATGGATAACTGCTAGGGTGGTGCTCAGTTTGACACAAGAAAACACAACTAATAGTTGAGGAATTGGAATGGTCATTTATTTAACAAATAAATGACAAAGTATTATGCAATAAAACATATAAAACAGTAAAAAAGCACAATATCATAATTCAATAGAGGGAGTTGTGGCTTGTTAAACATTCCAAAAATGCCACATCCCTAAAAATAGAATATAAAAAAGTCACACACATAGTATTTAGACTAGAATAAATCAAAGTAATGAGACAAGATAATTTGGCAAATTGTATATACAAAAAGTGTCAAAGATTGGGCATCTTCCGCCACCTATCAAACTTGTGGCTTCTACAGTTTGATATGCCCCATCCACCACCCGGCAAAAAAGTACTGGGACTGTAAAGGTAACTTTAATACGTAGATAAACACAACCAATAAACTACGCAATGATCATTAAACCGGGAGCCCTGTTTCCACGGTTCAATCTAAAGTTCCATTTAAACGAAATAAACCTGAAGCCCCTGCCTTCAAGGTTTAAATTGTGTCTGATATTTGAGTGAAAATTCCCATCGTTGAGCCTAAGGCCCCTGTCCTTAAGGTTCAATACCCGCAGTGTCCGGTAAATCATTCGCAGTGTCTAACTGAAGCCCCTGACTTCAAGATTCGGAAAACGCCCAGTGTTGGAAAGTATTCACGTTGTTGAACCTGAAGCCCCTGACCTCAAGGTTCATACCGAAGCTGTTCAGAATAGGGATTGTGTTTGGCATAGGACTGTTCCACCTCAGATTTTCATGGTCGGTTTTCTGATGTATTTCGTAAATGCTGAAGATTTCCAGTGGCCCATATTTTGTATTTGAATGCCCGATGAACCCGAGGCTGCCGCTGTCGTGGCTGCTCCAATCCGAAAACTATGGTACTTGGTATTTGGTACTTGTTTATATCTAGACCACAGAATGTCAGGGACAACTTTAAGTGTTCAGTAAAAAACTGACGAGAAACTGGGGAACCATCCATGAATGAAAACAAGGGTTTTGCAGGTGAACTGTGACCTCTAATGTTCATGAAAGCTTGTAGAACTAAGAAGGGGCATAAGAATGGGTTGGTCATGTTTTGCTGAATATGCAGAGTGGTAGACTGATTAGAATGTTTGAAGTGAGGGATTGTAAGGTTTATGGAATTGCCTTTAACAGAATCTTTTTGGAAAGTAACATGCTCAGCTAACAGATAGTGCTGCTTGGCGCCTGCTGTTTTTGTGATTTCTCCCACCCTTAGGAAGGCACAAAATGCCAGAACAAACATAGCGTGAAGTAGTGTGCTGTTAAAGGCACAAGTAGTTATGGATGGTAGAGCAGCTACAACTTTTGACAAAATGTCTGGTGTTATAGGTAATCTATTGTCAATAGATGGCTTAACCTTGCTAAATCCTTGTAATTGTTTTTTGATCAGAAGGCTTTGTGTAAGGTCTTGATAGCCTCCGAGTTGAAAGGTAAAGCTTAGTGCAGCTATGTGTGTGCGGGTTGTTGAAGCAGCGAAGCCTAACTGGTAGCAATGCGCAATATAAAGTAACAAATGAGAAAGCGATGGTGGCAGGGGATCTGCATTTCTATCAACATGGGTATGAATGAAACGTTTGTAAGTTGCAAATATGTTCTTATAGGATGACAAAGAGTCTTCTGAGAGGGAGTTCCTAATAAGAAAGTCTGCTGTTCTGGTCAGAGGTGTAGGAGTGTGTGCGGAACCATCGTTTCTTCCATATCCATGTTGGGAAAGAGTTCCTTGAATCTTTGTATCTACAAGCGAGAGAGAAGATCAGGTGCAATATTATGAAGACTGGGATATGTTCAGCATGGAAATGAATGTTGAATTTTAAAGATGATACCATAAGACGTCTCATTAATTTCATCAAATTGGAATCCTTGGAGGAGGTTTTGTTTATAACATGAACCACCGCACTGTTGTCTGAGTTTAATACAACTGATGTGTTTGAGAGCCCCTCACCCCACATTTCCATTGCGAGGACAATAGGAAAAAATTCTCTTACTGAAATATGCTATTCTAGCCACTGTTGCTGAAAGGGGCCGTAAAACCATTTCCTGCCAAAAGTACACCCGAATCATAAATTGCTAGCGTCCTTTTATAGGGCAATTAAACGTGAACTCGATGAGAGCAATGAAGCGTTAAACGATTTACACAATCGATTTGAGGAGAATGAAAACATGGCTAAAGCCGCTTTCGCTAAGGCTAACCAAAACGAGCAATATTCACGAAAATACAATGTTAAATTCCATGGTCTCCCCGAAACCGAAGGAGAAAATCCCCTGGAAATTGTCAATAACGCACTAGCAGAAGTAGGGGTGGAAATTCAAGGCAGTGATGTTGTGGCCATTCACCGAATCCCCGGAAAGCCGGACGAACACAAACCCATAATTGTAAAATTTCTCAACATTGACTCAAAAATCCGTGTCATGAGAAAGAGATCAGACATAAAAGAATTAAAAAAGGGTTGGAAGGTGACTGATGATGTAACAAAGGCAAACGTTGATCTTATAATCGAACTGACCAAGGATCCCCGGATAAAATCAGCCTGGTATTTTAATGGCTCGATCTACGGACAATATGGAACCAAACGCGTGAAGTTTGACATTTTTGACAATATCGAACGCAAACTGAAAAACAAGTAACTTTTCTTTTCGGAAACTCTTTGGTCCAATTGGTATCTATTTGACATTTACAAAGATGAGGTGTACTTCCGGTGTTGAGAAGGTAAACAAAACTTGTTGTTGAACTCTGTCTCGTGCCGTTCAAGGGTCACAAGGGACTTAAACTTTTTTTCTCATACTTTTTTGTTTATTTTTTTCTAGTTATGTTGTGTGAAAGTTTGCTCAATGTGTGTGTGTGTGTGTGCATGTACTTACCTGTGTCAATCTACCTACGGAAGGGGTGTGCCCAAATTTTCTTGCAACAATACAGAGCTGGAACAATCTTTTTTCTTTTCTAAACCAGTATGAGTTTCAGTGTACTTTCTTTTAATTGTAGGGAGTCAAGGAGGTATAGAAAAAAGAAGGGATGTATTAAATTATATTAAGCAAAAGAATTTCTCGGTATGTTTACTTCAAGATACTCATTTAACTAATGATGATTATCAACAAGTGAGGTCTTTCTGGGGCTTTGATGTATATTTTTCACCAGGAAAATCAAATGCTAGGGGCACTGCAATACTATTTAATAACAATTTTGAATATAATATTCACAAGCAATACAATGATGATGATGGGAATCTCCTTATATTTGAAATGAATGTTTTCAACAAGTATGATTTTATGTTAATTAATTTGTATGGTCCAAATAAGGACAGCCCATCTTTTTATGAGTCTTTGTTTGATATAATATTCAGAATTTAATGGTGAATTTGTTATTATGGCAGGGGACTTTAATCTGATACAAGATAAAAATTTAGACTGCTATAACTATAACAATGTAAACTAGACCTTATTTTTGTCGTTCAACGAAACGGAGGCTTTCAACCCCTAAAAAGAAGAGTCTTACATTACACAGTAAAAATAAATATCAAATAATACAATATCGCACAAAGTTCTTTTGAGATCAATTCTGAAAGGAAAACATAACAATTCTCTTTGTCCACCAGTGTCTACTCAAAGAGAAATAACTCTTTTCATAAATTATTAAAAACATACGAAAATATACTAATTTTCAATCCAATTAAACTCCTATAAGGAGTCCAAAAGTGACCCCACGGCCTGTAATTTTTTAACTGTACTCCTTATGCTTAATGCAAAACCAGAATTAGTTTGAAAATTGGTTGAGAAATAAAAAAAAAAGTTAAAGAGAAAAAGCTGTTTTCTGTACTTACCCATAAAGTCCCTTCCATTTAAGGGATTTTATTTCCATGAACTTACAAACTGTAGACAATGATTGAGTCATTATTCATGTGAAATATCACGAGAATTGCTTACTTCCTTTTTGAGATATGGGACATTGTATGATTTCATATTTAACATAGAAATCTCCATAGACAATTTTAAGGGACTCATAAAACCGGAAGTACTCTTCATAAACATACCAAAATTGAAACATAGAGGAAATATTAGGTTCCAGAAAGGTGGACAATGGGAGATAAGTGTTGCACAATTATTTTTGATACTACTGAAAAATACAATATTTTAGATCTCTAAAAGTCCTATAAGGGATCAAAAAGTGACCCCACGGACCAAACTTTTTTAAAAGTCCTTCTTTTGCTTTACTCAAAACCGAAATAAATTTGAAGATATGGGGCGAAATAAAAAAGTTACAGTCAAAAAACTGTTTTTCTATTCTGGCCCCTAAAATCCCTTTTATTTTTCGGAACTTTGTTTTCATGACCAAACCCCTTAAAGATAGTACAATATACAGTTATTGACTGGGTATGAGGGCAACATATCATTTGTTGGACCTGAAGGTGAAAATGTTGCCCGAGGCCGCAGGCCAAGGGCAACATTTTCATCTTCAGGTCCAACAAATCATATGTTGCCCGAATCCCAGTCTATAACTGTTTTGTTATACCCTTCACTGTTCACTTAAGATTGATCAATTTTATCAATACACGCTATACTATTAATTATTTTATAAGGAAAATTATGGCTTCTTCAGTAAATGTAAAACATCAAGCTGAGAAAGAACAAAATCAATTATAAATCTATTATATCACAAAATTATTTATCACAAAACATACTCTTCCCTTCTACCTTACCTTGCTGTTAGCAACAACTCTTAATAGCTCTTAACTTCGGCTATTTTCGCGTCGCCGATATTGAACGATGATTATTAATTGTGACGTAACAGACAAGTGACGTTGCGGTCTAACAATTCTTATGTAAGACCGGTTAATAGTGAAATTGTTAGACCGACGTAATAAACATTTCTTTTGTTGGACTTTTTATTAGTAACAAATATATAGAAGGATATTTATAAGGGTATAACAAAAATTATTATTCATGTGAAATATTACAAGAATTGCATGCTGTACTTTTGAAATAAGAAAAACAAACGTGATTTCAAATTTAACATAGAAATCTCCATAGGGAATTTTAAGGATATTATAAAACCGGAAGTACTCTTCATATACATACCAAAATTGAAACATAGAAAGCATATTAGACTGCAAACAGGTTGACAAAGGGAGATAACTCTTGCATCTTTATTTTTAAATTTACTTAAAAATACGTAAATTAGGTCTCTACAAAACCCATAAGGGATCAAAAAATGACCCCACGGACCATTATTTTTAAATTGCCCTTGTTACGCTTAACTCAAAACCGAAATCAGTTTGAAGATCTATGGACAAATAAAAAAGTAATAAACAAAAAACTATTTTCTGTACTGACCCCTAAAATCCCTTTTATTTTAAGAAATTTTATTTTCATGACCTAAGCACCGAAAGGCAATGCTAAAGTAGTTTTTCATGTGAAATATTATGAGACTTCCTTGCTTCCCTTTGAAAATAATGAACATCGAATGATTTCAAATTTAACATGGAAATCTCCATAGGCAATTTTAAGGTACTTATAAAACCGAAAGTACTCTACATATCCATACCAAAATTGAAACATAGAGAGCATATTAGTATTCAAATAGATTGCCAAAGGAAGATAACTCTTGCACAATTGAGTTTGAAAATACTTTAAAATACAAAATTTCAGATCTCTAAAACTCCTTTAAGGGGTCAAAAAGTGACCCAACGGAACATATTTTTTAGACTGTCCTTTGTATGCTTAAGTCAAATCTGAAAACTATTTGAAAATTCCTTGAGAAATAAAAAAGTTACAAGCAGAGGTCTGTTTTCAAGGTTGGCCCCTAAAAATCCCCTATTTTCAAACATTTCAATTTAATAATTTGATGAAGTCACAACAGTTTCAGAGTCATTCTGCATACAAAATATTACAAGAAAATGTTGAACACTTAAGAGATAATGTTCCATGATTAATTTAGCGTGATTTCAAACTAAACATAGAAATCTCCATAGGCAAATTTAAGGCACTCATAAAACCGGAAGTACTTTTCATATGCATACCAAAATTGAAACATAGACAGCATATAAGGTTCCAAATAGGTGGGCAAAGGGAGATAATTCTTCACAAATATTTTATAAAAGACTTAAAAATGCAATTTTTCAGGTCTCTAAAACTCCTATAAGGGGTCAAAAAGTGACCCACGGACCATATTTTTTAGACTGTCCTTTGTATGCTTAAGGTAGAGATTGATAGCTTGTCAACAAAAAAAAAAAACTACCCATTGAATTTTTCTGAATTTTTTAAATGTTTGTGTTGAGTCCTTGTTCTAAATCATACCAAAAATTCAAGACAGATCATCGGGCTAGTTTTAGAGAAATTTGACAATTTTAATATAGCCTTCATCAACCACCGAAGAGCTGAAAAAGCAGGGTAAAAAAATAGAACAAGTTATATGAAAAGGGCTGTAAATTTTTTATTGCTTTATCAATTATCATTTGTCTTATATGAATTCAAACATCTGTCTATATGGATTAATATTTGATATCAATCTTAAATTTATCAAGCATTGTAAGCAAAAAACAGAATTACATTTACCAAGATGCATGGTCAAATTAGGTTAAAATATTGCCTATTCATTGCACAGAGTCTCACACTTCTGCTTCCACTGTGAAAAAATTACCCATCAAATTTCTTTTTTTATTGCATATTATAGTTAGCCTACAAGTTTTTTAAATTTTAGAAAAAAATCATACTACAAAGGGGGTTTAAATTAACCTGGAACAAATTTATTATCTTACACCCTCCCCACCCCCTTCCTTTAGAAGGATGAATTTTGAAGAATGTGGTGACAAGAAGATTATAAAAATTTTTTAAAATATTTCACAGAAAATGAGTAAATTCTTTGTAAATTCTTCTAAATTACATTTTGTATCACAAAATCAATTTATACATGTACACCTAGACACATGTTGCCCGGGTTTACCTTTTTGCACTTATATTGAAA